CTGGTGACAAACGAGGGAAGTTCAAGGTGGCTTCTTTCCGCAGCAAGTATGAGCTGGGGGTGCCGGTGGCTGGCACTTGCTACCAGGCAGAGTGGGATGACTACGTGCCGAAGCTCTATGAGCAGCTGTCAGGGAAGTAGGGTGAGGGGACCTGGAGAAGCACTGTGCAGCACCCCTGCAGACCAGGCTGGTCCCAGCACGTCACTGTAGTTTTGTTTGATTAGTGAGTTGAACCCAGCTGCTCCCGCACTGACCGCTGGAACCGTAACCCTGCCGCTGTCCCTGGCCCAAACCTGCTTCTGTGTCGGTGAGGTCCAGAGCGTGCTGTGCTCCAGCTGCGCTCGTAGGCACAGGTGATCGCTAGCTAGACGAGCTTCTGATAAGGTGTCCCTGTATGGGCCGCCCCCGCTGCACTGACCTGCTTAAGGGAAAGCAAAGCCTTTGGCAATTAGTGTCACTTGAGAGCGTCTCTGCTGTCCTGCGATGGTGTTATGTGGCAGGGGTGGGGTACAGAACCACTTCTGGGTTGGTGGTGGCTGCCTAGTCTCAGTTTTCCAGGAGAAGGGGAGATGGCAGTCTAAGGGAAACTCCCCCCTTTTTATTTTTACCCTCAAGTATTTGGCCAGTGCCTCTTCACTGAGTGAACCACTAAAGCAGTGAATGCGTAGCGGGTAGGAGGAGGCAGGGAAGCTGGTTTATCGCACTACCTTCTGTTCTCTGTTGCCACTCAAAGCTGAGAGACCACTTTGTTTTGTTCAAGTTCTGTTGTGACCTGATGTTAACGTGCTGTTGGCTCACAGTGCAATTAAAAACTTACCCAGGTGGATGGTGTGATTGTCTTCTTGGGGGACAAGGGCAGTGCTTCCAGGAGCAACTTCGTGTTACCGGGTTCCTTTCTTCCTCGGGGTGGAAGGAGGCTGGACCCTCTGAGAAGAGCTTTTCCCCGTCCTGGCAGTGCTGCCTGAAACATTTCTTGCTGTCATACCTAGAGCCTGGGCATGCAGCTCAAAGCGGTCACATCTTTCTATCCAACAACCTACTGGGTACAAATTTAAATCCCGCCTTGAGGTGCAGCCCTGAGGGGGTGCATCTGTGAGGGAGCCCAGCCCACCAGTGGCGGTGGGAGCCGCTCCCTGCCTGTGCTCTGGGGCTCTCCCCAGGCTGGTGCTCCCTGGAGGTCTCCTCCCTCTGCCCAGCAGCTGCCTGCACCACCACAGCTGAAGCCAAAACCCTGACGGCAGGTTTCAGCCCCCACCAGCTTTACTGACCTGACGCCACTTCCTAGCCAAGCTGCAGGGTCCCAGTTGTTTCCTGATCTGCTGGCAGCTTGCAGTGAGGCCTGGTGGCATCTCTTAAAGCAGAAAATGAACCTTTGGTCCAGTCTGACATCTTTAAAAAGTTAAAAAATATTAAGCCAATGTAATTCTATTTCATGGAACTAGAAGCCTTCCCCTTTTTTTAAAACTACCTCCCTTTCTCAAAGCTCTGCACCCCAGCGGTCTGAGAAACAGGGGTCAAAACCCTCAATGTGCTGGAACACAGCCCTGTAAAAACCAGAGTGACTGGAGCTACGAAAGGGGATTGGTTTCTGCCCCAAGGTAGTTTTTCAGCCCAGACATTAAGACAGGACTGGTGGTTTTTCAGGAAAACATCCCCAACTACTCCAGACCAAAATCCACAAGCCTTAAGCTTACCAGGTGGGTGGAGATGTGCCCGAAGAGCTGAACTGGGCTCTGTGCAGCACGGGCTGAGCAGCTCAGGGCCTAAAAAATGAGCCACAGTCCATTAGCCTAAAACCGTCCACTGCCACGAGCACCAGGTTTGGAACAAAGCCCCCGCGGTTTCTCCAGGGACGCTTCACCCCTTCATGCACCCACACGAGGTGTATGGGGGAGTGGGATGGTCACCCCCCTGTGCCCACCCTCAGGCTGTGCCGGGGACTGGCCCCCAGCTGCTCTCCCACAATGAGACAGCGAGGCATTGTGATGAACACTTTTATTTACAAATATAATTAAAAGCTCTGACAGTTATTCATGCTCTTCCTTGGAACCTGAAAAATGTTTTTGTTGTTTTGTTGGGGTTTTTTTGGTTTTTTTGTTTTGTTTTTTTTGTTTTTGTTTTATTTTTTTTTAAAGTGCATGCAAAAGAAGTAAAGCCTTTTTTTTTAATCTTTTTATTGTAAGAAAATACACAGTTTGAAAGTGTGAATAATGCAATATTTATGACCAAGATCATGGGGTTGAGGGTGGACTTGGGGGAGGAACAAAAAAAAAAAAAAAAAAAA